GATGGAGTTCTTGTGGGACAGATGGACACCTATGGTGCAGATGGATGGACAGTGGTTGGGACATGTGGCCCTCTGGAGTGATGGATGGACACCTGGAGGAACCAATGAGGATCTGGATACATGCACAAGCTTTGAGAGGCATGGACACCTGGAGAGATGGATGGATGGATGGACACGTGGAGGGACAGACTGACAGCTGGTTCGATGGATGGACAGTTGTTGGGACACATGGATACCTGGAAGGACAGATGGACACCGTCTTTGACAGATAGAAACGTATTAAAATATGCACTTTGTTAGTTGAAAGAATGACCATCCTCCAAGCTCCTATGTTTGGAACCTGCTACACTTTTTTTTTTTTTTTTTTTAATTTAAGGAATGATTGGCACTTTTTGCCAGAATCTGATCAGGTCTGGGCATATCATATTTTGTATACATTCCTTGGAAATAAACTCATTATCAAATCTATACACACGATACCTTAAATGTCATCAAATTCAGCCACCACCTTCCTGACTAGCTCCTGAATGTGGGTCAGCCACTTGACTATGGTTTCAGGGAAGGTACCCTGATAGTCAAGTGAACCAAGAGTAGTTTAATATAAGGAGCCACACAAGATCACATACTAACGAAACAATTCCCTGTGTTCTCAGCCCATTCACGCTAAAACACGCATTTCTGTATGGGGTAACAATGGAAGAGAATTACTTGTGTATAGGATGGGCATCCCTGTTCTGAAAGGAAATACAATCTTAATGGTTTGAATTCCTATACAACTCATTACTCTTTGCAGAAAGAAAAGTCCTCCTACAGAGGGCAACCCAGCAGACTTGGCCAAGTGACTGAAGAGGAGAGAGATCTAAAGAGACACACATTTCCCCCAGGTCTTGTGTCCTACCTGCCAGTTTCATGCACATCCTTGGGACATGGGGCTAGAAGACAGCGCTAGCTCAGTATGGTGAAGGCCTGAATTGCTTCCCACTGTTTAGAAACTCCATTTGTGTCAGAAATAGCGTGGCCAGCAAGACTAGGGAAGTGGCCGTCCCTTTGTACCAGGCACCGGGGAGGTCCCACCTCGAGGGCTGTGTCCACTTTTGGGTTCCTCACACCAAGAAAGACGTTAAGGGGCTGGAGTGTGTCCAGAGAAGGGCAATGGAGCTGGTGAGGGGTCTGGAGCACAAGTCTGGTGAGGAAGGATGGATATTAGGAACTATTTCTTCACACAAATGGTTATGAAGCATTGGAACAGGCTGCCCAGGGAGGTGGTGGAGTCATCATCCCTGGTGGTATTTAAAAGACGGGTGGACGTGGTGCTGAGGGACATGGGTTAGTGGTGGAGCTGGCAGTGTTAGGTCTGTGGTTGGACTCGGTGCTGAGGGACATGGGTTAGTGGCGGAGCTGGCAGTGTTAGGTCTGTGGTTGGACTCGATGATCTTAAGGGCTTTTTACAACCTAAATGATTCAATGATGCTGTGACTTCTGTGACTGCGCCCTCATGCTGAGCTCCACCTGGCTCTGCCCTGGCCCTGGAAGCCAGGATGAGGCCCAGGGGACAGGCGAGAGGCCAAAAGGAGAGGGACCATGAGGAGACCACACTCCCCGATCAAGAGGGTGTCCCCACACAGACAGGAGCTCTCAACCTGCTCTCAACACAGACTGAGTTCTCAACAATATTTGTCCCATTGGACTCAGTTATGGCCTTTGTCCATCCCACTCTCTTTAAGAAGGCTGAAGCCTGGCAGCCATTTTCCACAGGAAGGCAAGGCCTGGGCCCTCCATCACCCCTGGACACGCTGTGGCCCTCACACAGCAGTAGAATGCTGGAGGTGGCCATGTCACAAAGGGTGCTGGGGAGGTACGGGCAGTGACCTGTCACAGCCCGGAGCCCAGCAGACCGGCGAGCAGCCAGACAGTCAGACACTCTCTACCTTCTAAAAGTACATGGACACGAAGATAAGGATTGAAGAGTGCGGCAGAGACCTGGGCAGGGATTGTCCACGGGGACAGATGGTTTCTGCTGCCTTTCTTTGTTGCTATTATCCTACCTGTAATGGCAGCAGGCCCAGACAGGGCAACGACAAGACCATGGCGGATCCTCATCTTCAAGCACACAGCCAGAGATTCTCTACCTTCTGCAAGGACACAGACAAAAGTTAAGGATTCAGGAGTGTGGCACAGACCTGGGCAGGGGTTGTCCCTGGTGAGGGAAGATGGCTGACCTCTTGTTTCTTATCCTGTCTTCTACAAGAGCAGGCCAGGAAAGGGACAGGACCTGCTGTCCTCCCCAGTAGGAACTCAACCACCCAGAGATTCTCTACCTTCTACAAAGACACGGACACAGAGATGAGGATTCAAGACCCTGGCAGACACCTGGACAGGGGTTGCCCGTGGTGAGTCAGGGTGGATGCCTCATTTTTTTTTATCCTCTCTCCTACAGCCAAAGGCCCCGAAAAGGAGAGGAGCAGATGATGGCACATTCCCATCCACAGCCAGGCAGCCAGAGATTCTCTACCTTCTACAAGGACACGGACACAAAGATAAGGATTCAAGAGGTTGGCACAGACCTGGGCAGAGGTGTCAATGGCCACTGATGGTCTCTGATGCTTTAGTTTGGTGATATTCTCCTGCTTTTTATGGCAGAAGGCCAGACAAGGAAAGGACAAGACCATGGGGACTCTCATCTTCAGGAACAGCAACAGAGATTCTCTGCCTTCTACAGGGACACAGACAAAAGTTAAGGAGTCAGGAGTCAGGCAGAGACCTGGGCAGGGGTCTTCCCTGGTGAGTGAGGATGGCTGACTGCTTTTTTTTAAATCCTGTCTCTAACACACACAGCCCCAGAAAAGGACAGGACCAGACTGTGAGGAGCTGCCATTCTCAACCACAGAGATTCTCTACCTTCTACAAGGACACCTACATGAAGTTAAGGATTCAAGAGTGTGGCAGAGACCTTGGCAGGGGTGTCAGTGGTGTCAATCAAATCGTGTTAAAGCTGTCTCATCTAATATCACCTGTGTTAAATCATTGTTTTATATCAATAAATATATTGCTGCTTTTCTCTTATAC